TGGTGTCCATTTTGTTGAATCATAAACTAAAATGGAATTTGTATTTTCGATTCCCCATCGAATTAGGTACTCCCAAATTTCGATCTCGTCTAACTCTAGATAATCACATTTCAAAAGATTAATGAGATAAGTTTCTTTCATTCTAATGAAATATTCTGAATTAAAAATAGCTTCTGGATTTTTGCAAGCCAATTTTATTGCGGCACTATACAATTTGACGAAGCTATCATATTGAAGAATTGTGATAACGTCTCTTGAATTCCAAACTGATTCATCCTCAAGCAAGCATCCTTCAAGATATTGATAGACTTCAAGTAATTGAAGCTCATCACTCGCAATAGCAATATCGACAAGACTATTGTTTCCAACGGAAATTGCTCCTGTATAAATGTATCTATTTACAGTACATTTATATTTTTGAGAAAGAATTAATTTTATCATCGTTTTTATAAAATGCTACAAAAATGAACTTACTTAAAAAGAACTTCAAATATCGAAGGTGAAATATTAGGTTTTTTAAATTTGATAATTCCATTTTCTACACTTGCCCATTGTGGAGACAAGGCATTTTTAAAATAAGTTGATCTATCTGTTAAGATAAACTTGTGTGCTTTGAATGCTTTAACGTTTGGCTCTTCACCAACTATAATTTCTACGTTGCAATCATCATGATTTTCAAGTAAATTTGTAAAATCCACAACAGAATTTTCCGTGTTTCCAGCGAATGAAAAACATTGCAAAGGGATCATATTCACAATTGTTGGAATTTTGCACGCCTGCAACATATAATATACTAATAAAATTATAATTTGTACGTATTTGACTTTACATTTTGCATACAATATTAAAACTGTTAAACTTGTTAAATTACACAAAAATGGATTCTGATATGGACACAAAAACATAAAAAGTAGCAAAGATATCCAATCAGATAAATACAGTATGTAAGCAATGCAAGATTATTTTTCTTCTACTATATATGTATTCAATGAAAAATACAAGCGTTACATCCTAAAGATTCCATTATTGTGAAAATGAAACCTTTTTCAGCAGAGCAGAGTTTAAGTTGCTATTTAGATCGCAGGTGTATTGCATCCTTACCACACTCGTGCGTCATTTGTGCAGGCAAAATTTCTGTACTGGAATGATTATTTGTTAAATGGAATTTGGGGATCTATTTCCCTGCATATAAAAATTCGGAAATACGTACATATTACTGTATATACAAATACAGAAATAGAATCCACCAATCAGAAAAGCTTTTCAAACATTGTTACGGGTGTTATAACCGGCTGATTCTTAGTAAAGCCTCATACAACGCATGGTGAGGTTATAGTGGTAGACTTCAAAATATTGAGGCGCGTTTACAATTTGACTCATTCTCACACTTGCAAACTTTGTTCTTAAACCAATCCTTGAATCATTTACTACTGCCAATATCTTTAAGCAAAATCAAACTCTTTAGTTTAGTCACGTAACGAGTTACTGTACAAATGTATTCAACCGGGTTAAACAAAAGGTAAGAGCATTTATTAAGTTTTATTTATTTATTTATTGTTTCTTCTCGTCTACAGCTATTCGAATTAAACTTACATTATAGTCACACCTACTTATTTACATGTTTATCTGTTTTTGCATTCTATCTATTTTTAGAATTTTTTCTCATCCGGATCTTAAACGTATCAAAAATCAACCATACTCGCGATGACAATACCTAATAACACATTGAAGTATACAGGCATGTTTGACTGCTGACTCGCATCCAGATTTCTAACATGTGAGAAAAATCATCTTTGATCACATCTTGGGATATTGTATATACCATAGCGGTCATGAGTATTTGTGCTATTCTAATTTCGCAAAAATAAAGGTAAACGAAATATATAATATATATTTTTTAAAAAAACCGCAATGCTAACTTCCAATTTTATTTCTATTTTTTACCGAATTTTACTATTACCCTTTTATAAATAATGAAACAGCTTTATGGGACATTATTGTTGAAATATTAAAACTTCAGCGGGAATGGAAGGAAGGATATTTTATAGTAAAAAGTAATCAACTTAGTAAAATCAATAAACATGAATGTTTGGATCCGAAAACGCGTCAGTCCATTGTTTACTTTGAAAATTTGGGTATCTGACATGGCCTCAAATTTCAAGTAAATACAATTTGTATTTGTAATTTATTCATGTAATATGATCACATGAGAAAATAATGAAATTCGAAATCAGAATAAACATTGCAATCTTAATATACAGTAAGACAAAATGATTCTTCTAGCTCTATCGGAGCTATTTTGGTAACGAAATACCGTAGTTACAGGAATCTCCCTCATTCATGCTCCAAGAAAGCTTTGCTTCTCACTTCGATATGCGAACTTTATTTTTTTTGATGTTATTATTGCCTCAAATTATATACACTTTGAAATGCAATTGCAACCCAGAATATCAGAATACGTAAGAAACGCTAACTTGGAGAATCAGTCGTCTTTGCAATTTGAAGACATAATACTGTAACTACAGCTGCAAGTAAACATAAGTAAGTTATGTGTAAACTGTATCAATACTAATCACTTTTTGTAAATTGTATCTACTAATTCTTAGAAATTAAGCCAGAAGTGCATGAAAATTTTAGACTATTGACCTCACTGTTATGCAAAATTGAAAGACCTCTTCACTAACAAAAATTAATTTAAAGTAGAAGTTATTTAATACGGAGATATCTGAATCGGATCATGTTTAACAACACGACTTAGCACACCTGTTTTGGTAAGAATTTCTTTTTGGGATCATTTGGATATTTTAGCTCGATCTTTAATTATTACTGTATTTGTTTCATCATTCTTATTATATTGTATGACAACTACCATCGCAATGAAAACCAATTCTGAAAATATTGTTTAAATGCATAAATACACTCAAAATATAGGCTACGTTAAAAGGCGTACACTTTTTAAGGGAAATCTGCAGATATAAAACCTATGTTTGGTAAGCTTCGTTTAGGTCATCAAACTTCTATAAAGACAAAAGATAAAAAGATGTTGAATAATAAAAGTGATGTTCCGGTTCTAGTATTCTTTTTGAAGAATATTCCTTCATACTAAGTTATGGATTTTTGATGAGAATATAGACATGGTGATCATAAGTTCTTCACGTTATTTATTTAATCAATCGCATCTCCTTCATCACGAAAGGGGTTGACTCCATTAAAATAATGCATTCCCTTTAAAGAAATAAAAAAAGAAGCAAAATCTTATTGTATGGACGATAGTGAATTCGTATGTAATGGTAGGTAAAATTACAACCCAGAATATCACTTGAGTTATTTAATGATGTTAATAAAATGAGATAAGTGCGTGATTAAGAAAATAAAATAAATAATTGACATAATTGATAAAAAATAAATTAATTAAACAAAAGAAATAATGAATAAAAATAACGAAAAGACAAGGCTGATAGTTGATTACATTATCCTTTTAAGCAACTTTTGTTATTTGCAATTGACATTTTGCTAATTTTAAGTCATATCATTGATTGTTATTTCTTATAACAATACCTATTCAAATTTACAAAGAAATCTTAATCATATTCTCTAGAATATTTCAAAAATTAATCAAGTAATTCTAGGAAACTTTAGATATACATTTTAAAAAATTATCTAATTCTTAATATTTAACTATACAAAATCAGATAATAAAATTATATATTTTTTATATCATCTTTTCCTTTCTTATTTTTATTTTTATATTTGATATTTAAATCCAATAAAATATTTTTTATTTCAATAATATTGAATTTTATAATGTTTTTTAAATTGTAAAAATTTAATTATATTTTTGTATTTTCTTTTTTTTATTTTTGAATTCGAATTATAAAAAAATATCACTTCTAATAATTAAAATTCATTTTCCAATAATTCTTAATATAGGTAAGCAGCTTTTAATATATTTTTTTGTTTTTAAATTCAACAAAAAATATTCAAGTAACAAATATATATCTTTGATATTATATTTATTCTGATTGATTTTTTGAATTTTGTAAAATTATATTATTAATAGATTCACATATAGTTGTTGAGTAATTTTTCTTATTTTTAAGATTACATTTTTTATTGGATTTTATTTCAATACTATCTAGATTAATATGCTGAATAATTTAATATAAAATTTTACTTTAATTAATAATATTTTTGAATTTTTATAAATTCTATACTGTAAGATAAAAACAAATAATGAAATAAATGATACAGATAATAAATTTAAATTTGTTATTTTATTAAAATTAAAAAATTGTTTAAAAAATTAAAAAATTATATTTGTTTATATAATCATTATTATCATTATAATTATTAATATTTACTGGTTTCATTTTTCTTTTAAATTATCTATATAGTTAATAAAATAGTTAATAAATAATATAGGTCAAGTTTAATCTATTTTAAATAAAATAAATTATATTTATATATTTTTTTATTTTTTCCTTTTCACTGAAAAGTTAAATATATAAATATAAGATTAATAGAAAGAATATTACTGGTATAAAATAATTTATTTAAGGTATGTCTTATTTTTTAAATATTTTTTCAGAACCATGTGGTCTCACAAATTTCTTGACAAAAAAATAATCACAATATCAAATATATAATAATTTATTTTTTTTGTTATGTAAATTTCACAAAAATTAATGATAATAATAAAACTTTTAAACAATATATATTAATTATTATAATACAAAGAACAACAGATAAAAAAATTAATATAAATTGTGAATATACATGTAAGTAAAGAAGTATTTAGTAAAATTAATTATATTTAGAGGTTTGAATCAATACCAAAAATAGTATTGACTTATAATAAATTTAATATATGAATTATAATTTATACTATTAGATATATAATAAATTGATATTGATTTAATATCAAAATAATATTATATTAAGAATCTTAATTATATTATAACAGATTTAAAAATCTTTTATATATTATTAAAAGCAAATTATAAAATATTAAGATAGGTTATCTTTGAAATATAAAATTATTCCTGAGTTCTCTCATATAAACAAAAAAAAAGCCGAAAGTAAATCAGGTATTTAAAAATAATAATTATAATTATTTGTGTAGAATTGTATTTCCAGATAGATAAAAAAATTTATATTATAATATTGTATACATAAATATATTGAATTTTTGTCTCAGATTAAAATATGTACTATACTTATTTTATTGATTTTTAATATATTATATTCTATTAAGATTTATAATATAATTTGTAAATTTATTTTCAATAATTAATTATTGTTATTATTCGGATTTGGGATTCTATAGCTCTTGCAAGTTCTACACCTAAGATTTCAGGGCCTCACATCTCTTAATATTGTAGTAAAAAGCTGAACACTACTGGAGAATGGTGTTAGATACAATATATTGCGAAGATCACATGGAAAAAGATCCAGATGAAGAATGAAGAGAAATAGAGCTTAATTCCCGAAAATTCGGGGTTTCATCTTTAGAGAGGGTTCAGTTACCCAACGGTTTAATCTCAAGAGGATCTCTAGATGCAGGATACCTTAGAGTCGCTCGAGAAAATATCGTGTTTATCGCCTAGTTGCATTAGCATTTTGCCCTAAAGAAGAAGGTAAAGAATATGTGAATCATATTGATGGGGATTCAACAAACAATAAAGCATCTAATCTTGAATGGTGTTTACAAAAGAAAACTCTCAGCGTCAATGTGGTGTTAAGAAGATTTTTGACGAGAATTCTATCCATGGCTGAATCACAGGATGTTACTGGAATTAATCATATAGGACTAGTATATCAAGGATTTTAAAGACATTCGGGAAGGTATCGTTGGGAATATGTTACGCAATAATACTTGCACGCCTTTCAATTGCATTAAAAATAGCTTTTTATTTCATCCATGTTCGAGTTCTAGTCAAAACGTATAATATGCTTCTTCATCATACTCAATACCTTTGCTTGCGGTTGATTTATTATATATGGTAATTTTTTTTCGTTCAACTTTATTTCATTTTACAAAGCGAACAAAAAAACAAATTAATAAAACTCGTTTTGTAGCTACTAAAAATCAGAATTTATTTCAAATATTCATCCACAACAATTAATAATGAAATTTAGAATCTTCGAATTATTCAGTTGAAAATTAAATCCGATTAACAGATTAAAGAATTGCTTTAAGCACGATCACACGCAACCTTGACAAGCAGACAACGCAAGATAAACATTGGTTAAATTATCAACAAAAAAAATGCATAGCTCGATCAATTTTTTTATTTACATTTACATTAAGACATCATTGATGGTGGCGGATCCTCATAATCATCACATCACTAAACTGCCTAATCAACAGATCTATAGCCGGTTGTTCTTCTATACTAACAATACTTTTTGCTATTTTTAATCTTCTGCGCATCGACATGTTAAATAATTCCTTTTCGGTCACATAATCGATTAGATCAGCCATTCTGTCATCAACCTCTTCGGGTATAGGTTCAAGAAATCTTGATTTCTTTTTAAGTGGTTCGGGTAAATTTACTTGATATGTAACATGTTTTCCCATTTCACCGTGAAGAAAATTCCCTTCATCAAGCGCAAACTCTCTAATTATTGCCAAAGCAATACTGCGATCATTAATTTTAGATGATGTTAAATATTGGCGTTTCTTTGTCTGCATAAAAAAGTAAATAGACCAATTGTCATTGCAATCAGTTAAGACAGACATAGAATTTGTAACAGATCTCTTATCAAGTATGAATAATTCTCCGATAGCTTGACCCTCTTTAGAATCATCCTTCTTTTTCTTAGTTTCAATCCAAACACAGTCGTTATAACTTGCTCCAATGGAAATATCGGTACCGCCCTGTAAAGTGATATTGAAACTTTTTAAATGTCGTTCTTGAATCTGCGTATGGACATCTTTCACATAAAAACCTCTTGGTAGGTTTAATGCTTTCTCAAACCATTTTTCAACTTCGGGCATTTGGTGGGCTTCATCAGTTTCCGTGTCCATACGAATGGCTGGCAATTTATGGGACTAATAGGTTGAAAGTCTTCCGCTGAAAGCTTATAATGGATAAATGATAAGATAATAAAATCATCAAATAATACAGGAGGTATATACTTACTTTGAAATCCATTAAATTGAAAGAATCCATTATTGTTCTTGCTTTTGTTTCCGAAAGATTTGATGCTTGGATCGTCTCATGTAAATCATCTGGTGGTTCTTCACGTTTGCGTTTTGACGTCGCTTGTAATAATAATAATAATAAAAATTCAAAGTTAGTTTAACGTAACAATAATGCCAAACTATTTTAACCTGTTAATTATCGTCTCTTTCCGATACATACCAGGTGCATTTACAATGACTTGCAGAGGTGTGCTTGAGTTATTCTTGAAGCTCTGGATCTAAGTCTTCTTTTTCACCGTGTCTTCTTAAAGTAATCTGGTTAGCATCCACATCCCTTAACTGATTTGATAGCTTATTCTTGATCGTTTCTTTCAAGTCGTGTATATCTTCTCCATCGAAAACAATTTTTGCTGATTGGTTGTCACCGTACTTGACCCAGATTTTAGAAGGGGTTGACGAAGAACCTAGGCGAAAATCCTCGAGAACTATTTTTTCGCAAAGGTATCGAGTGACTCCTCTATAAAAAATATTTATAATAAATTTCCCTACCACTAGATAGTTTCGTTCGTAGGGGAGGAGCGTCTTCAAATATTTCGACACCTCTGTCTTTTGTGGTTGTACCAGATGTGCCAGATGTACCAGCAACAGTAGGTGGAACGTCCTCTACGGAAGATATTCTTCATTAAATATAATGAATTGTTTCTTCAAAAAAAATGCTCGAAAATACATGTACTTTACCTGTAACTTTTTTTCTCGTCATGATTAACACTTATCAAGTGTATTAGTGATTATATTCAAATGTGAATATTTATCACAAGATTTATAATTCTTGCATATTAATATGCATTATTAACAATTATTATATTATAACAATAATGATAATAATAATGTATGTATACAATTATATTCAATAATGAATATTTATTATATTTTGCTTCGTTATTTTCGTTAGATATTTGTTTCATTTATTTTCTATCTAATTAAAAAATGAATAACGAAGAAATTAATGATTCTTCAAGTTTTACAACTAATTCAATAGTTGATCCTTTAATATGCTCTTTTAATAATATCCATGAAACTTCATCTTTTATATCCGAAACTTCAACTTTATCAGCTGAATCATTTAATAATCGAAAAAGAACACATGAAAATGATAGAAGTTATGTATGGAAATATTATGAGAAAAAAGAAGTTATAAAGGATGGCAAAACCGAATTACAAGCATATTATAAATTAAATATGCCTGATGGTAGAAAATGTAAAAACAATTTATCTATAGCACATGGAACAACAACTAATTTAATTAAACATCTTGAAAATATTCATTCTATTTTGGATATACAAACGGTTTGTTTACAATATATTTTATAATATATTTTATTTAATAAAATATTAATTTATTAATTTTATAGAAACGAATTAAAACACAATATAATGAAAATGTTATTCTATACAACAAGAAAAATTGTCTTATCTTAGACAATTAACATTGAAAAGGATTCTTCATGCTACTCTTCCATTGTCTACTGTACAAGATCCATATTTTTGTTGTTTTTTTAATGAATCAATTCTACAATTCAAGATTCCTTGCTCGGCTATGTTTAAAAGTTTAATTTTGCATGAATATCAATCAAGCATACATATAATAGAATCATTAATGAATGCAAATAAAATATAACTTGAATTTTGTGCATTAACAACAGATATGTGGACTTCTAGGAATAAGGAAGAATATCTTGGTGTAACTTGTTCTTGGTTAACCCAATATTTGAAATAAAAAAAATTATTTTAAATATTAAATATGTTTCTTTTTCTTATACTTCTGAAACAATATATAATAAACTTTCAATAATTATTTCTAAGTAAAATTTAGATAATAAAATTATATTTATCACAACTGATAATGGTGCAAATATGATGGCAGGAATTAAGCAACTGATGCCATTTAAATGATTAGGATGTACCATTAATGCATTACAATTAACGATTAACAAATAATTGGTATCTATAGAAATATTTATAGCATGAACTAAATAATTAATTAGTTTTTTTTTTCAATTAAACAAATGAAATGTTTAATAGCTATACAAAAATTATTGGAATTTATCAAAATTTATTAAGTTATAACTGATAAAGACTAAATGAAATTCTACCTTTTATACTTGTAATCAACTTTTGGATTTAAAGGGTTCGATAATAATTTTACCAACATATATTTCAAGACTCAAAGAACAAGATATTAAAAAAGATTCTAATTGACTTAATAAAATTATGCTTATAAAAAAAAAATGGCTAATTATGAAAGAATTAGTTAAATTGTTAGGTCTTTTTGAAAAAGCAACATAATTTTTAAATAGCTATATATATTCTATATTAGAATTTATATATCCTATAATAAATACATTAATTAAACAATTTAAGCCAAAATATAAAGCATTTAATAAGAATTTGAAAGATTATAATAATTGTAACAATATATAAAATAATGATTATATATATTGTATATGTTGCTAAAATTCATAAATCATTGATATAATTAATACAATTATTTGATACAATTAATTAAGTTACTATTAAAACATATAAATAATTAAGTTATAATATAATTATTTTTAAGAATTTTGGAAATTTAGTTAATAGCAAATAAGTTATATCATATGTATAATTTATATTCTGTTGAAGAATAAACAAACATCAAAATTGAATATATTAAAAGTAGATTAAAAAAAAAATCAAAATTAAATATATTAAAATCACATAATATAAAAGTAATTATTAATATTATTTAGAAAAATTATATAATGCTCTTAAACATTATTAAAATATTTTTTCAAAAATAGAAACTATAATCAAAATATTAAATTTATATTTTAAATTATTAAAAAATTTAATATTGGAAAATTAACAAAATAATATAATATTATATATATAAATTATATAAATTAATTCAAAATTCAAATATTAATTCATTAACCAATTTCAATTACTTATATAATAATATATTTCAACAATCACATAAAAAAGTTCTATATTATATTATTATTTATTTAATTTTCAAGAAACTTTTTCAAATAATATATATATAAACAAAATTAATAATTATTTAACTATATCAAATGCCAAATTGATTGATAATTTTTGTATTTGGTAAATTAATGCCATAAAGATATATTCAAATATTGAAAAATTAATACATAAATACTTATCAATTCCCATTACTTCTGTTTCAAATAAATAATTATTTTTAAATACAAAACAATATATATCTATTTGAAAATGTAGATTGAATTTCATATTAATAAGAAAATGATATTTTTAAAATAAAATTTAAAAATAATTGATACTTACAAAGCTTAAAATATTAATCAATAGAATTAATTAAAATCAATAATTTATATTTAATAATTTTTTATTAATAAAAAATAATACTGAATATATTATAAAAGATGAATTATTAATAAATATATAGTGTAACAAATATATAAATAGTATATTTTTTCTGGTTTTTCTGGAAAATTTTACCTATTTCAGTTTGATCTTAAATTTTTGGTTACACTGGAACTTCTGAATAATGATTGGTTAAAATATAAACAAAACATATAACTCCTATATGCCTCATATCATACAATAATAAATCTAATAATACTATTGAACATAGTAAAAAAGTAAGATAACAAGGTATCTGTTTTATCAAACTGTGTTATGATGCTTCTTCTTTTCTCTTAAACTGGTTTTTTTCTTTT